AATATTATTTTTAAATTCATGCTTACAATTAATATTATTAAATGACTTTGTCAGATTTTTTACAATGGCAAGATATTGTCATGTTTTATTTTCTATTTTTCTTTTTTATTTTTAGCAATGACGTGAGTTCTCAAACAATCAAATTGTATTACGTTATCATATGCCAACATTGTATTACATTGTAAAATAATTACATAGTCAAATGTTTGACATTGTAACTATTTTTTACATTGTGATATTGTTCGACATTGTCATGATAATAGTGACAATTTCATCATTACAATGTCACTATTATAGTGGTCACATTGACATTGTCATTATTTGACATTGTAACATTTTTCTGACACTGACATTTTCCTGACATTGTGCAATTTTTCCAACATTGTTGACGTTTTTGAACAATGACATTATATTATATTATCCTATCATAGTAATATTTAATACTATGGGTATAATAAATTTGGACAATGTAATTCAATGTTTTTGTCCAAAATAATACTCCCTCCTTCTCATTGGACTTTGCCAAATTTCTCTTTTTGGTTGTCCCAAAAAACTTTGCCACTTTCAAATTAAAGCAACTAATTTGTGGTTCTGTACATTTCTCTCTCATCTGCACAAATTTCAACCACACAATTTTCACTATTCTTATTTCTCACCTATTTTGCACTTGACAAAGTCCACCGGGACGGAGGTAGTACAATAAAATCCATCAAAATAAAAACAATGCTATGAAGAGTAAATCACTAATCATGAGACAATGTTTATTATTTTATTATTAAATAATCTGGATGAAATTGCAAAATAAAACATAAAATAATAAAGCTAAAGTAATAAATAAGAAAATGAAAAGTAAAACAACAAAAAACGTAAAATGTCAAAACAACCAACAAAAAAGGTAAAATTGATAAAATAAAATTAGAAAGCAAAAAAGGGAGTCACTAATAGATTTAGGAATTGGCAGCTCCGTTCATCCAAGGGAAGCCGCAGGAGTAATCTGGTCAACAGCTGCGAAGATAAAAAGCTGCAGAAAAAGGAAGACTTTGGGTGTGAGAACAGAGACTACCTGGCCTCTCTGAATTCTAAGGGACGTGATGAAAGACACGAGGGGGGACAATGGAGGTGGGTGGCTAACCAGGTGTAGAACGCGTCGTCGTAGACAAGCGAGGGGGTGTTGCGGCCGACTGTTGAATGTTGAATTCCGGAGTTTACTGCAACAAGAGTTCTCCGTAGAAACATTTGAGGACTGAGGTTATTTTCGTCCGTTCAACTTAAAATTGGTCTTATTTGAGGTTTAAAAAGTCGCCGGTCCTATTTAGCTTCGCCGCTTATATTTTACTCTCATTCAAGTCGTTTTCCCTTTCATTTATAAACTTTTATATTTTCAATGGCTTTTTTATTTCACTTTAGATCGATTCTAGCGAACTCCTCCGTCATCACATAAATTTAAACCTCCTCCATTACCTCCAATTCCCTGACTTCCCTCTTCCTTCTCATCTCCCCGCCATAGTGAACTTCTAGAGCTTCCTCGCTAGAGCGGCAACCGCTATGGAGAACTAGGGTCACATCTCAGCTTGGACAGATTGCGATCGGAGCTTTTAGTTCACATGTCCACTTTCGAGGAATGATCGATCTGTATCATATCGCAACGATCATTCAGAACTAAATCAGAGGAGTGGTAGGCAGAATTTATGGATTCAACCGAATACTCTAGGTGAATCTGGAATTCATGGGAGACGGAGACAGTTTGTCAGTAATTTTAGTGGCTGGAATCCACAGGCGTTATCTTCTTCGACTGGCATCCGAAGGAGTGCAACAGCAGAAAACGTATGTTCCAATTTACTGGGGAATGTTTTTCAAGAGAGAGTTGTAGCAACAGAAAGTCCGTATGAACAAGGTCTTGGCAGCAGCACTAATAAATTTCTGACGCAATTGAATAATATATATCTGCCGATTCCAAATGAGGTATATTTTTCAATTGTGTTGAATCAACAAATTAATATGGTATAGCTAAAGTGTTGTTCTCGATCACACACTCCGTTTATATATTTAAAATTCATATATCATCATTGCTTTAATTTGATTTTCCTTTCATGGTAATATTTGAGTTTGAATCGTTTCATTTTATAGTCACATCAAATTCTATTGATTCATGGATTCCTCTAAAGGATGATAAATTAGTTATCCAGATATGTTGCATCATCATCATCATCTAAATGATGTCAATTTATTCTTAGTGAAAATTGATGGATTTGTATATGTTTGAGGTTTGCTACATGGTGCAAACTTGGATGATTCTCTTTGACTGTTCAAGACAATCACAGATGAAAAAAGAAATTTCAGGGACGTCATGTAATAGGAAGCTTTTGTGTAAAACTTGTTTTAGGGACAATCTCTTTGTTTCTTAATTTCAGAAAAGGTTAAAAATTCATCATCAATTACTTCTAAAACTTGTGTGTCTTGCAAGAGAAGTGAATGGCAAGGGCTATTAATCTTTCATTCATCTTCCTACTAAATGTTTTGTGGTTTGTTGTTTCATTACAAGAAGCTTTTGTGTATTTATGATTCTTTGCTTATTTGAAGATGAAATTTATGATTCTTTGCTTACTTGCTCAAATTGCTGGTGATGGCCTGGTGGAGTGACCGAGCTTTGGTAAGGTAAATCTGCTTCCGTTGTTGCATTATTCTTCTTTCTTTGCAAGTGCTTTATTCTGACTTTACAACTATTCAAGACACTCACAAATTATTCGCGTATAAGTAAGTTTCAATAGCGTATGGTCGTGTTGCCAACAAGATTTGTAGACTTAATTTTAATATTTGCATCAATGTCGGCGATTATGAAGATATTCACAAGGCTCAGTAGTTTTTTCAGAATGAATCTTATATCACATATATTCTTATCTCATTATTGGTTAAGTTGTTTGGTCTACAATCACCAAGTCATATACTTGTGTACAGAATGTGATATGTGTAGTTCTCTATTTTTACATTTGATAGATTTTTTCTAAGATTGACAGTAAACAATTTGTGCCTCTTAATTAGTTATTCATAGATTGCTTGAGTTAAATTTCAATTTCTTTCTTTTTTTCTTGTTTTATTATAACTACTTGTAGGTATCTATTTTTGCATCTGTTATATAGGTTTATTGGTTTCTTGTAATAATTTATTCAAATCCGAATTTGCATTATAGTGATTGCATTTCCTGTTGCAGGCACATAATAAAAACGAAGTACATGAAGATGTAAGGATGAGAAGAATGACAAGGAAAATTAAGATAGAAAAGACAAACTCGATAATTTGTATGTTAAGGTGCAACAGAAGTGAGGAGAACCAAAAGAAAAAGATATACTCCGTAATAGATAAATGTAATACTATACAGAGTACATTGTAATAACAGATTGAGTTATACATATGTGTTGTTATTGTTTCTCTTTGTTGCATCGCCTGTGTTGCTTTTTGTTGCATCGTGTCGCTTTTTGTTGTATCGCGTTGCTTTTTGTTGCATCATATTGATTTTGTTGTATGATATTGCTTATTGTTTTTTATTATTGATTTTGAATTTTGTTTTCTATTTACATTTACATTAATATTCATTAATGATTTGGAATCAGAATATCGGATATAGCTATATATAAAAACATCTAAGATGATAAAATCAGATTTATGAATAAACAAAAAGAAACATGAAGAGACAATAAAAAACAAAAATATTTAAAGCTATCAACAAAGAGAAACACAAATAAACAATATGCTAAAAAAAATAATAATAAAATTGTGTAACTATTTTTAAAATATTACATTAAATAAAAATAAATTTTCAGTTTTTTTAAATGTTTTTTTAATTTTCACATTTTCATTTTCAATTTCTTTAATTTACACGAGTTTTACAATATAGTTTGTTACAATTTATTAAGTTTTACATAAAACATTTATGGATTTTATTTTTCTGTTTTTATTTTATTTTTTCAAAAATTTTAGTTTTATGTTTTCCACACATTTTTATATGTTATGTGATTTATTTTGAATTTTTACAATTTTTTATATGTATTTACTTGATTTTTTATTTTTCAATGTAATATTTTTTCAACTTTTTCAAAACAATTACTTTTTATTAAAGTTTCTAATTACTTTTCATGTTATTAAACCGTTTAAAAACATTTTTTTCTTGTTTGAAATATTTTTCATGATATATATACTTTTCATGTTATAAATAAAAGTTATTTCTAACCTGATTATACTTTTTAGTAAATTCTCAATTTTTTATATTTTGTATCTACATTTTAATAACTATTTAATAAAATTACAATACAAAAACCAAACGTTTAACCTTTTTTACAATTTCCTTTATTTTAAACTTTTTATTTCTTTTCTTCATGTTTTTTATATGGTTTTATGTTTCTGATTTGTTTTTAAAATTCAATTCATTTTCAATAAGTTTAATTTGCAAGTTTCCAAATTTTCTTGTTTTTTCTTTTTCGTTGTTTTTTTTCGTTTTTTATTTTATTTTTAAATTAAATTTCATTTGACAGTATTTTATTGTTGAATAAGCATTATCATATTTTAGAATTTTTACGTTTTCCTATTTACAAACAAAAAAATAGTTTGTGCACTAAGTGAAAGAGGTGTAAAGATTCCAATCTTACGTGTCAAATAAATCCACTAAATGTGCTTAGGCTATTTCTCGCATATGGTCAAGGTCGGTAACTCTGTAAGGCATTAGGGGGCTTAGGCTATTTTTGAAAAGAAATCTTTGCTTAGTCTACAAGAAAAAACCAAGAGTGGCAAAATTGATATTAGTTTTGTTTTTTAGCCTATTTGTGAAAAAAAAACATTATTTTTAGGATCTTTTCGTAAACCTTCCATGCATGATTACCTCTGAAGCCTCATGAGTAATGACTTATTCCTTTATGACCAATTTGCCTTCCATGTATGATTGACTATTCACTTAGTAATGGTTCGATATATATATATATATAGCTTAATGTTTTAAGAAGGGATCTTTTCACTTATTATGAGAAGAATTCATGAAAACGAAAGGTTTTTTGAATAATAGCAAGGCAAGTCTCAAATATTGAGAACACCGCTATACGAAGGCAAGTTTCAACGGATCAATCTTGGCGTTCTATGTTTTGAAGATCAAAGTGAAGATCATGTGATCTGAGCTTGACCGAGAGAAAAAAGTTGAGATATTAGTTGATTTCCATCGAAGCATCCAAGTAGACCAAGTGTCTGGATCAGCTCAATCAAGAGTTCTAGACGTAGTCTTATTTTCAATTTCTTCTTTTGTAATGGGTTTTGAGGTTTAGTTATTGATAGCTTCCTCAATCTGGGTTGGTACGTGTGTAGTAACCCTTTAATCATAAATTAAAGGTTAACACGTTTTACTAATATCATAAATGAGCTCTCAGCCCTAGGAAATGATATTTCTGTTGAATATCAAGTAAGGAAAATAATGAGAAGTTTACCCTCTGCATGGAAGCCTAAACCTAAAGCTATAGAAGAAGCCAAAGATCTATCAACAATGACTCTAGAAGATTTGACAGGCTCACTCATGACATATGAGTTAGGACTACAAGAAGAGCAAGATGCTGAAAATGTAAGAAGAGAAAGGGGAATAGCTCTAAAATCGCAAGGGGAGAAAGAGGTATCCGAGAGTGAATCTGATGATGAAATGAGCATGTTCAAAAAGCAGTTCGGGAAGATGTACCGACACTTCAAAAGCAACAGGAACAAACAAGGTAAAAAAAACTCTAAATATTTTAATAACCAAGACTGTTTTGATCGTGATTCCTTTGAGCACAAGGTAAATATGGAGTTCAAGGTGCCAATTAAAGTTTTTCTTAATTAAGGGGGGTAATATAGCATTTCAGATGATACAGGGGCCTATTTGACCCTTTAGTCAATGAAACATAATCCTACTAACCAATCATATGCATTGTAGATACGGTTCTTACTTATTAATGAGGTATCATAGCATTCACCTACTTTTTTTTTAATGTGTTTATATAAATATTATTGTTTATTGACGTACAATTAATGTCTAGTTAAACAATGTTAAGTTTTGTGATTGTTAGATGATGATTGCATTAATGCATTTTGATGGAGTATATGGCCCGTGAACCCCCGGGGCGCCCAGGGAAACTACCGCAAGCCGGAGGCTATCGAGGCTACGACTTACCCGAGGGAGTCCCATTGTTTCTTACGGATGAATGCAACAGTACTCTACAAAAATGAGCACCGAGGGCTCATTGGTAAATTCTACAAAAATTATCAAACCCCTGGAGATACGAGGGGGTGGTATGTCTGAGGGCTCCATCGCGAGTATTTACTTAGAAAATATCTAAGTCCACAAAAGATGGGCCCCAAGAATTCCGTGGGACAAAGATCAAACATACATGGAGTCAAAAGAAATAGACAAAGGCATTCAGATCAGAAAGCCCGAAGGCGCACCAATCATTCATCAAAGACTCAAGAACAAATTGTTTTGTTTACGTACAAGGCTGAAGCCGAAAGCCTACTGATCTATTACAACAAATATTGTAAGGGAAAATTTTCCTAAGTATCAGCTTCTTGGCCGTCTTCCCTCGGCTTTCAGGCGGCGTCATCCCTGGCCTCTGCATCGTCATCGTCGTCGCACTTCGCCAACTCGGAATCCTCGAGCTTCTCCCTTTCCTCGCCTTCGGACAGGGGGATCCGAACATCAGGCTGTAGAGGGGGGATACCGTAGGCTGACAGATCAAAATCCTTAGGGTCCACTCCGTGGTGTCGGGCCAGCCTCCGTTAGAGCATGGATTGAGTGAAGAATTCACCGCCCTCATAACAGGACTTGCCTTTCCGGGCCAGCCATAAGGCGCCGGGGCCTGCGACCCATCCTTCAACAGCTTCCGGTACGACAGAGGCCACCCACTCCTTGTGATCCTCGGTTTTCCACCCCCTGTATTTGAAGGCTTCAATGGCGTCCTTGGCAGCCTAAGCAACTGCCTCCTCCTTAGCGGCCTCGGCGGCCTCAGCAGCAGCTTTGGCGGCTACAGCAGTAACCGCAGCCTTGCCCTCGGCCCTAGCCACCACCTTGTTATTCTCAAGGATTTTATTGAAAGCCTCCTTCTCCAACTGGAGGGCTTCCTGAGCCTCTTATAGCTGCCTCCGGGATTCAGCCAAGGCCTCGTCGGCCTGCAGCTTCTGGCATGTGATTGCTCCAACCTCTTGAGCAGTTCGCCAAGTCCGAGAAAAGTCTACAGTGGACGCCAAAAAACAACAAGAGTTAAACTACTGCGCAAAATATACTAAGCCAAATCAACTAAGGAGAAAAAAGGAAAAAGGATCTTACAGTGAGGGAAGCTTGAAGTATCTTTGAGCCGAGGGAATCGTCCTTGAACCGGGAGAGCACCGATCTATCCGTCGGGGGAGTGGCACCCCTCAGGAACTCCTGCGGGTCCAGAGTGCCATGCATAATGGCAGTCCCCTTAGTGATGGAGAACTGCACGTTCTCCTGGGGCCATGACATCTCAGCTACCCAGCCCGGTAGCTCAGAGGAAGAATGTTCCTCAACAGTGACGACGAGGCCGTCCTTCTTCTCGGGGGCCCCCTTCTTCTGTTTCTTCTTGGCGGGCACAACACCTTTGCCCGCCGCCTTCCGCTTGGCAGCAGCAGCCTGGGAGCCTCTGGCCTCAGCGCCGGCATTAGTTTCCTTCAAGGGATCGTCACCCTCAGGCACCTTCGTGCCTTCGGCCTTCTGGAAGGAGTCCACGAGCTTCTTCTGTGAGGAGGCCTCCTTCTTCCTTGGCTCTTTGGCCAATTGTTTCTTCAACTTTGAGAAATTCCTGACGTCCATGACTTGGCCTGCAATAACATACGAGTGTTAGAACTACAACAACAAAAAGAAACATATGCTAAGTACACAAATCGAGAGCCCTCAGCAACAACCTCCGGCACTTTGATAGCCCTGGTCAATGGAAGGATATCTCTCGTCCTTCTCCCCTGCCAAGCGATACCGCCGGAAGCCCAGCTTAAACAACTCCTCCGGGAGCGTAGCTTAAACAACTTTGCCGTGAGCTTTCTTCCGTTGCTCTCAAGAGCAGCGTTACCGACCTTCAAGTGCCTTCGGAAATGATGACGAAGAGGTTCCGGAAATGGGACGAAGGAACTTCCGAAAACAGCCTCCAGGCAGGCACCTACTACAAATTAGCGTAGCCTCTGGCGTGGGAATGCCCCCCCCCCCCCCCCGGCCCCGGCATAAATTGAAGGAAAGAAAAAAATGGTCTAGTGAAGGTTCCACTCCCCGGTCCCGGCAGAGAGAAAGGAAGTCGAATAGGTATGAGTGGCTGTTGGGCGTAAGTTGGCAGGGGGACAGTCCCAAGAAGCGCAAATATGTGAACTATAAAGCAGCCTTCGGGGGGTGTAGTAACACATCATCATGTCCCGGTTCTACCACTTGTGCTGAAGGCCCGACGAAGAATAGTGTCGCCTGATACTCGGCATGTGTAGCCCTCGTCTTCACTTCGAGGGCGGCGGTGTTGAGATAGGAGTTCCCCTCGGGAATGCCTACAGGTTGCCCGGCGTCCACAGCAGCGGCCTTCTTCTTCGGAGCCCCCTAATCTTCTTCCTTTTATTTCCCGGAGCAACCCTGAGGGGTTCGGGATTAAGGGGCCGGGAGCATCCGGCTTCATCATCGTTGCGAGGAGGCGGGACAGCGACAGTGACCTTCATCCGCTCTCTTTCTTCTTCCTCCTCTGCAACTTGGAGTGCAAGGGCCATTTCCTCATCTTCGGCTACTTGTTCGAAGTCCTCGGCCTCCAACTCAATCCTGAGGTTCTCTTGGACTTCTTCGGCCACTGCAGCATCATTTTCGGCCGAGGGCTGCTCGCTCGAGGACTCCACGTCCGAATAGCTCTCAGACTATACCAGGGCCTCCCCCGATATGTTTTGGGAATCGCTTTCGGAAGACATATTTTTGACAGGGGAGGAAATTCTAGCCGAAGGCGCCTAAAGTTACTATAACACTAGATCTAAGGCCCAAGAAGCAAAGTGTACTAACGAAGCGAAGAACAGAAGATGAACTAACCTCGGAAATAAGAGTTTGATCAAGGGCAAAGGTTTCTCTCTCTAGAAATTTTGGCAGAGCTTCGCTTTGATTCTAATCGGACAAGGAAATGAGGTCCGGCCTTGGGGTATTTATAGGCTTCCCAGCCTCGAAGTATGGGCCTCGGTTTGAAAGCCCATCATTACGGGCTGCCGCCTCAACCAATGGGTGGCACCCTCCTTCAGCCAACGAGAGCCGGACACGTGGACCCCTCCTCCAACGGTAACCTTCCAACGGCTATATTCCGGGGTGGCCTCAACTATCACCTTTCGACACGGAGGCAACACTTCCTTCGGGTTCCACACACCTTCGAACAAAAGCAAATGTGACCCTTCGGCTTATCACACATTGGCAACCCCTCATCCAGATATGCCCTCGGATTAATGCATTACACTTTAAACTCCTTCAGCCCGAACTTGCCTTCAGCCTAAAGGAGTGGGGGACTGGGAGCACCCCTCGGGAACAACACAAAGCAAAAATTGACACATGCAAAAACTATTAATGCCACATGTAGCCTCCGGGCAAAACAATAAACACGATCCCTCGGGCATACCAATCAATATACCATTCATCAACACACTGAGTGAATGAATATTATTAATGGAATCAATTGATGTAACTCACAGACCATCGATCAACCATAGCATGTACTTACTCATGATGTTTCGCGGTGTAAGGTCTAAAACCTTAAAACAAACCTCGTGAATCATCATAATTTCATCCCATATAATAAAAGACACGGCATGCAACATTTTTGCTTTCGTACTTCCTTAATGAATATTGAAGGTAGTGCAACAATATTTATGGAAATATGATATCAAATGATGAGTTAAAATTAGCTTTAAAAGTATATTTTCTACAAAAAATTTAGATCTTCATGTGTTCGTGTGGTTCCATTTATTGAAATAGAATGACGCAAAATCAATATATATACTATCTTTGCTTCTATATAATTCCAATGTGTTGTTTTTTAAACTAAGCACATGTCCTTTATTGATTATATTTTATTTATTAATCTATTTGACATTTGAATAATATTGTTCAACTTGTCTCAATTTAAATTTCCAAAAATCTTTTTTTTTTTGTAATTTTTTACTTGTAGCAAATTATATACTCCGTATAATAATCAATGTAGCATGTTGACGATAGTGGAAATGGAAGTGTTGTAGCTAACAAAGAACGGAATAAATATATGAAAGTGAAACTTTTCGGGAGCACACAATGTGCCATGTCATTATTATATACTTTTAATTAGCCCAATTATTTTTTTAATATGTATTAGGAAAATACAAATCCCATATTTTTATGGAGAATATTAAAGTATATATAGATAAATACTCGTATAATTTATATTACTTAGGAGAATCACACAATGTGTTTGTAGTTACAATTTACTTATTATATCATTTATCAGTATGATTTGAATTCTTTAATTTGAAAATCTCAATTCATATATTTAAATTCTTCTCCTATTTTAAGTGTGATTAGAAACCTAATTTTATTAGTAACTATAAAACGTAAATTTTGAAAATTCAATTTATTCTTTTATATATTTTTATTCCTTTAAATGAAAATAACTATTATCATTAAAAGCAACTATATATTGTAGATTAGAAAAATTATAGAAAAAATATACCGTGCATTTGAATAAAAATGTATGAATATGAAGTACAATTAGTTAAGTTACTTTGTCAAGAAAAGTTATATGCAATATATTCAGTATATTACAATTGAACTAATAATTCTTGCATATTATTGGTCGTCCGTGAATTGCATGAATTTGACCTTTAGTATAAGTATATGAATTGAAACAAATATGAACTATACAAAACATTTCAAAATATACGTATTTTATCGAAACAGATTATACAAAGTATTTCAAAATACCAAATGAAAGTTTTACAAATTATGTATGGTTTCTAGAACCAATTCGATAAAGATTCAAAAATATGGAATGAATTCCAATATTGTAAAATATTCCAAGTATACATACTATCTCTAAATGGAATGATATATTTCTATGTAGTTTACTTGAAAATAGAATTTTATCAATTCGGGGCCAGAAAGATATGTTCATTATCAATAAGCGACCTGAAAGATAAAAAAAAGTATGTCAATATAGGGCTTGAATGATTGAAAATGATCAACCTGAGACCTAAAATTTCGTGAGTTTTAATATTCTTTCAAAAATTAAATATTATTTAATGTTATAAAACTAAGAAACTTTTGTGAAGAAAGAATCATAAAAAATTAGCGACAAAATTAATAAAAAATAAATAAATAGATACGTAGTATAAGTCTAATAATAGAATAATATTCCGGTCAGGACCCCCTGACCAGAACTGTCGTCGTGATTTGAAGTGATTCAGGTGGAGTTTTTTGATGAAATTTTGTGAGTATATTCGACATGAATTTAGATTATGTATAGAAAATTTCAGCTTAAAATTAAATCTGCAAGTCAGTTAAAAAATTTTTTGAAAACACTGAGCCAAAATATGTCTTTAAAATGCAGTGTTTTTCAATTATTTATTTAATTGACTTCCCAAATGATTTTAAACTTAAATTCTGTAGACATTATCTAAACTTCATGAATAACATGGTCAAAAGATTCCACTGAAAATCTTGACAGATAACTGCTTCGAATCGTCGCGGCCACACGACAAAATTAAGAAAGGAGGTGCACTTTTCTCGAGTATAATATTATGAATTTAGAACTTAGTTGCAATTAATGACTACTCACTATTGGACTCAGTAGCAATTAATTGATAACTCAATTTCAATTTGAAGGTTATACTTTATTATTAAGTATGTATGGTCAATCTTTTATTTGTATTTGATATCAATATCGATTACTCCTATTTAATTTCTTTCCTTTCTTTGTACTTTCAATGATCTCATTAAACTGGTAAAGTAATAAAAATTCAAAATTCAAAATGTTGAATGTCAAATATGAACAGTCTATTAAAAATTTCAAATTTAATGACGATCTATTTGCCCTACTCAAAAGAATTTAGTAATTGGACTCAATAGCAAACATTAAATCTCTTAGATATGCTTTGAAATGCTTTGTATAGTTCATATACCTTTCACTTTATATACTAATACTGTACTATATGTCGAGTTCGTGCGATGCACGAACGACCAATAATATGTGAGAACCATTTATTAAATTCTAATATACTTCGTATGACTTTTGTTGACAAAGTAACTGTTGAGGTTTATTCTTTCAACCCTCGGGTCCAACACGTAAGCCCGAGGTTATCGTGTGGATATTGTGTGAGTGAATAAGAGATGCAAGCAAGTAAGATGGGCTAAGAAAAGATATACAATAGTGGACCGAGTATTATTAGAACCTAAAAACTCCCCGATACAATGCACTATGTTAAGGACTGCGGCTGTTCCTCTTACACCTCAGTAGAAGAGTTGCGAGTAATAAGCTATGAGCTAAAAGTAAGCTAGAGTGTTAAGGCAAATAAATTGTCAACCCTTTACAATGAAATAAATGCTACTATTTATACCACCAATGAGCAGTTGGCTATGCTGACGTGGAGAGATGTGAATGGTTGAAACCCCGATCACCAAATCTCCAGCATTAAATGTGCTTCCCGCCAAGATATCGGTTTCCCGCCTATTTATGGAGACGAGCGTCCCCTTGATCCTGTGGTTCGCCCCTTGGTGTCGCTGCAAAGGATTGTAGGACGGGCGTCTTCTGGCCCTTGTATGAAACTGTGCTGGTTAGCCCTGGCCCCTGACTTCCAAGGCCTAGTGGCGACGTGCGTCGCATCTTCCTTGGGCCTGAAGGCGTAGCTGCTTGGGTTGTGGAGACGTTAGTCTCTACCCACTTAGGCTTGTCGGGCCTGGACGTTCGTCCATAAAGGGGATATATGGGCCGACCCTCAAATTGGGCCATTAACCCAACACAAGTCCCCCATTTCTGATGTTCCAAGCATGCATTGGACATGAGGAAGTAAAAGCCTTGTCCCTTGCCGCACCGAATACTAGCGACGTTCCTGATCTACGTGGAGCATGGGGTTTCCAAATGATTTAGGCCGAACCCGAAGGACGCTCATGATACGGTAATTGGCTGTTGATGGTGTTACACAGAACCCTAGGTCACGGCTGCCACATGAGCATTGCAATTTTCGAGAAAATTCATCATTAGGCGTCTGTTCTTCTCTGCGCGACACGTGTCCTGGGGCACGCTCCTCGCCGTGTCGCTCTTCTAATGGTCCTTTGAAGCTGTGCCTCCTTCTATAAATACTGGATTCCCTAATGGACCTAGGGTTTTCGATTTTCTGCCCTTTGCTCTCAAGTTCTCACCGTTCTGCAAGTCTTCCGTTGCCAGGTTCTCAGCTCGTCTCCTCACCGTGTATTAAGGTAAACTTGAGTTTTCTTTCCTTTCTCATTCTTCTCTATTTCTCCAATGGCTGTTTCGATGAAAATTTCGTTGAGTTCTGGTTCAAACTCCTCTTCGGGCTCTGGTTCTAGCTCCCGCTCTTCAGGGGAGACCAGTACTTCCGGTAGCTCTGGCTCCGCCTCCACCGTGGGGACAGTGGTGATTGATGGTGCCAACAGCGATGCTATCTCCCAGGGGGACGCTGTAGTAAGCGCCACTTCTACCAGTGTGGCCCATGATGATGCCACCTTGGAAGATGATGGGGGCAACGTCTCACAGGGAGATGTGGTCCAAGATGCTGAAAATGAAGAGGACGTGGCGACGAACGTAGTTCCTATTATTGCAGATGACGCGCGTCCCGAAGGTTATGATTCGGGATCCGAAGCTAGAGATGGGGATGACATAGAGGTTTATGACCAGGGCATTCCGGTAGATGTGGAACTCCATATCGTGCCCATAAAAAATGTGGTTGAGCATGAGCAATCCTTCTCAGATCAAGCTCTTAACGATCTGAGGATCTTCTTACCCTGTTGTACGTCTACAGTCTCCGAGGGGCTGAGAATATGATGAAGAGACGCCCGGGGATGATTATGGTACACTTAGATTCTGTCATGGCCGGTCTGTGGTTCCCACTCCATTCATTCTATGTTGACTTCTACCGCTGCTTCGGGGTGGTTCCTGCGTAGTTCATGCCAAATTCCTACTGGTTCATCTCGGCATTCAGTGGCCGGTGCAAAGCCAAAGGGGTGGTCCCGAGCCTAATCCTCTTCCATTACTTCTACCGGATCACTCCCCAGAACTCTTATGGCTTCCTGAGTATCGCATCACGTCCCCGGCGGAGACCGTTCGATCGGGCGCCGACCTCCGATCAGGCGCCGACCTCCGATCGGGCGCCGACCTCAATTCATGATTGGAAAAATCGGATCTTCTTCCTCCGCTACGATGATGCTTATCGGCTTCCCATCGATGGAATGGGTACCCCCCCCCCCCCCAGATAGGCTTGTTGAGGGTAACTGACGACCTGGAAAAGCTTATCAAGAAACTGACGACGGGCGGCATTGAGCTCGTGGAAGATTTCCTGACCTTCAAGTCCCTCACCGAGGCAGGGATAGGTACCGCCTGCATTTCTGGATTCTTTGCCCCCTGCGCTCGCCTCGTGGACCCGGGCGGTCTTGTCTTATGAGGTGAGTGCCTTTGGGGTCCACACCGCCCGGTTCTAACTCCTTGTGTTTTTGTTTCAGACCCCCCTCCAACTGAAGACCAAATGAACGACGAGAAGATGCTCCGCAATAGGAAGCTGAAGGCAAAGGCTGCGCAAACCGCGCTGGCGAACACCAAGGCAGTCTGATGTCAGTTTTCTCGCACTTAAAATAGATCGTAATATAGTGGTGTAAGTACGAGTATCGTCTCCTCAATGACGGACAAAAGGGAACCAAGAATTAATTAAATTTAGCGATTAAAAGGAAATAAAATAAAAATGCAATTGTGCGAGATTGGTTGGTTGAATTAAAATTAAACTAATGCGAATGAACGATTAAAAAGGTTGGTTTTCTCTCTAATTAACGACGAAGGGAACATGGATTGATTCTGGGGTAACCATATTTCTGGCAGATCAGTCCTAATTACATGAAATTAATTTAATTGAGCCTAGCTAATCATTACTAGTTCTTACCGCTATCGCGGCGTAGAGTATAATAATTTAAGGGACCATACTGATCTCTCATGCGACAGGATCCTAAATTATTGTCAAGACGAACGAGCTTACGGCCCCTTAATCGCTACTAATCTCTTAACGAACGATTAAGTGTGCGTGAAGGTGTCCTAGAATAAATTAGATCTCTCTCTTAACTTATTCTACAAGCAATTGTAATTCTAACGCGCGTTCTAGGTTACAAAAGATATCAGTTAAAATATTCAAACACAAATTAAACGGCATTCATGCAATTAAACCGACAAGAATCTAGACATACAACATGATTAACCCCTTCATCAACCCCAAATCCCTAATTAAAACCACTCTCAATTCATAATTGAAGAATCAACGAAATTGTCATTGATTAAAAAGAATGAACATACAAATAATCTCAGGGTTCTTGAATAAATCAACGTAAAAACGCAAGTAAATTCGTCCTTAGGCCTCTCCGTAATGTTTGTAATCCTCAAATTGGGGTTATGGAGGCCTTATTTAAAGAAAACGGGGTAATGAAGTCCTTTATCCACCATAACTTGAAGAATTGGATTTGAATCATCCAATCAAGAGATATGAATAAAATGGTGGAAGGTCGCATTGTGAAATCGCAACAGGGATCATCTGACTTCATCGTCTGTTTTCTCCTTCATCCTCTCATAATCTCAGAATGGTGTGGTCATATAATTTGTAACCCTTGAAGTTGACTTTCATATATATATGGAACTTGAATCGTGTACATTGGATGTTTCTACGAAGAGATATGCTTGAACGATTGAAAGAAGGTCATCCCGATCGTCGTTTTCAAGCTTCATTCATCTTCTTTTGATCCCATAGCCAATCCTATAGCTCTTTTGCCTTCAAATCTTCATCGTAAACCTCCCAGTGACCTCCAAAGCTCTCAATCCATTCTCGAATGCATCTCGAATCATTCCAATTGCTCCTCAAGCGCCGGTGCCGAAATCTAAATTCCTGATTTTGACTCCAAATGACACAAAACTCGAACCAACGCCTAGTAAATATAACTTGAGCTAAAATTGAGACTTGCGACACCTTAAAGCTAAGAAAACCATCAAAAGCCGATCCCAACATGCATCAAATGCGTGTCTAAATACGGACTTATTACATTCCCCCAAACGTAAGCCTTTGCTTGCCCTCAAGCAAACTGAACAACGAGACTTACGATAATCACCACACGAAATTAAAATAATTAGCATGCACATGTAGTTAAAGGGATACTCACAGAACAGACAACCTAAACCGAGAAAATTCTTCCATAAACTACATCTTTGTACTCAAGCTAAAATTAGTGACAAAATTATTCACAACATCCTCAAAGTAGTGACGACAAGCACTAACAAACTAGCTACCGATCAGAAGGACTTGTGAAGGCGGTGGTGAATGATGAATGGTAAGAATAAACAGTCACTTTCTTGAGAGTTTGGAACATCCTAACAAAGACATAATGCATTCAGGAATTTTGGGGCTACTCTTAGGATCAAGAAATTCAGTATGCCACAATTTAGGAACTATCATTTAAACCTATGCAAAGAGTAGACATGGTGTACAACTAAGTTAAACCGCCGCGGAACATTTGTACTTTGACGTATACTTGAAGTACGCGAAGGACTAAAGCTAATTTTGCGATAGCCTCCAAGTTCATTAATTAAGTTCAGTTTTCCTTGTCATGTTGGAATGAGAACACCATTTCTTTCGAAAGATACCCAAGTCTCATCTTACACTTTTTGACCATGGCTCTCATTCTCTTTTTCGCAAGGTAAGAGGTCTAGCTATAATAATTTTTCACTTTTCAGATTTTCACTAGACATTACCCCATTCTAATCTCGGCCTCACCAAGGAAAAATAGCAATTAAAGTTCATTTATTTCAAAGTGGATCCATGCCTACAATGCAATCCTCAAAAGTATCAAATTCCTAAAAAGTGACCGCTCTTACCCCATTTGGGACATAGGAACAGTGCCAAAGATGGCTCTTACACAAATTCCCTAAACTTAACAAATTCATCTCTAGTTCCCTAAACACCAAGACTATGCCAGAAGCATTCACGGGTAAGGAAAACAGGCCATTTGGCTATGGAGCTCAATTAGTTGGGTATAGAATAAAAATGGGTAGACTCAAAGTGGCTTCTCCTAAAGAACTTTTCAGGTGGGGTGGATGGTTTATGAATTAATTCAATGAGTGACTAATGCCTTCATCTTTTCAACAACTAGATTATAGTGCAAAAAAATTAAGCCTAAACACTTCAAAGATGTTCTAAAAGCATAGTCAAAACGCTAGCCAGCTCACAAAGACACAGTTTAAAGAAAAAATTTCAAAATTTTTTACATGACTTTCCATGAATATACAACTAACACATGCGCATGCTAACTCTAATAATCTCATGTAACAACTACTGTCCAATGCCCAATTCACTCCCCCACACTTAAACTTTGGCATCGCTCTCGATGGCCAAATATGCACTATGCACTAGGGGGTAAAGAGAAAAGGGTCACACGTGCTCAACTCAATATTTACAAAACATGCGATAATAAGAGTCGCAGAAACTTCCCTAAGGCGCTGGTCGGTGCAGAACTAAACTGAATCAAGTCATCCTCGGCACATCATCCCCAAAGCAAGACCCTGAGCTGCAAAAAAAACAAAACACACAAACACGCATAGAAAACACCCCGTTTTTTTCTTCTTTTTTCGGGGGTTTTCTTAAAGCAAACAAACAAAAATAAAAGTGCAGAAAAAAGCATGGGTTGCCTCCCAAGAAGCACTATTTTAACGTCGTTTGCCCGACGATACCTCATAAGCTCTCAATTAGCAAAGACTGCAGTGGTGCACTAATAATCAACATCTTCAGCTTCCTCTCAACAAATGCCATTAAGTGGCGCAGACCTTTACATTCTTGAGTACACGTAGGCAACACATGGTCTTCATACCCTCATCAGCACATAAGTGAAGTATGAAACTCTCATCCTCTTCGGGTGGACAGAGAACATGAGTGAAAACTTTGATTACTCTAAACATCACCGGAAGCTCAAAACATGTCTCAAAGCAAAGATTAGGAACAACACCGTAATCGAATTGCATCATAGAAAAGTCTTTTTCTTCTCCACAAATATCATGAACATTCACAACCTCTCCTCCGGACTCCATATCACTCCCCATGTGAGCATCCCAACACTCGTTAACACCGTTCTTATCAATGTCTTCTCGGATGATGTGGTCGTCATTGATTAAAGGAGCATCATCCTTCAGCGGTGCTTCAAACAAATCCAAATCTGAGACAATGCACAAGTGAACATTTGAATACATACATGACGGTTCTTCTTTTACGGGGAGAGATGCTTCTTTTTTGTGATCAGCTGCCTCAAGGTGTTTCTCATCTGTATGCGTGACGGCCTCGACGTATTCACTCAGCTTGGTTTCACTGTCGCTAGGATGGGATCACTCGTATTCCTCAGATAAGTCTTTTGCCAGCTGACTCATTTGGTTACTTAAGTTATGCATTCTGGCCGAAGTGGTCTGCATTCTGGCTGAAGTAATGTGCATGAACTGTGTGAGCGTCTCTTCCAAGTTAGAAAGTCTCTTTAAATCTGCCTCCTCTTGTTGATTATGAGGCTCATTACTCGGGAAGTATGTAGGAGTGGCTGAAACATTTGTGTTTGTAAGTTGTGGGGAGGATGAAGTGGGGTATGCAGTTGCCCAGTAAGGATGGTCATATGGAGGTTTAACGGGAAAAAAAAGATATACGGTGACATCCTCCATAGAAGGAACAAATATTTTTCTTAGGCAGACAAGGTTGCGTGGTTAGAGGGTATGAATAAGGGAACTGATAATTTTGTGGTGTAGGAGAGTAATTTTGATGAGGTGTGTAATATTGAGGAGGAGGAGGAGGAGTGTAAGGAGGGTATGGCGTATATGGTGAATATTCCATGGAGGTTTGAGGGTAAGGAATTCCTTCAAAAATTTGGCTGAATGGGTTCATCTCATGTCTCTTAGACAAATACTTGAAAGGTTAGCACAGAAGAATCCCACGAAGAACAAAAAGAAACCAACTAAAAATAATCTCGCTGAAATTAATTAACCCTTAAAACCGACACCGTCCCCAGCAACGGCGCCAAAAACTGATGTGAGTTTTCTCGCACTTAAAATAGATCGTAATATAGTGGTGTAAGTATGAGTATCGCCTCCATAGGGACGGACAAAAGGGAATCAAGAATTAATTAAATTCGGCGATTAAAAAGAAATAAAATAAAAATGCAATTGTGCGAGATTGGTTGGTTGAATTAAAATTAAACTAATGCGAATGAACGATTAAAAAGATTGGTTTTCTCTCTAATTAACGACGAAGAGAACAAGGATTGATTCTGGGGTAACCAGATTTCTGGCAGATCAGGCTTAATTACATGAAATTAATTTAATTGAGCCTAGCTAATCACTACTAAATTCTTACCGCTCTCGCGGCGTAGAGTATAATAATTTAAGGGACCATACTGATCTCTCATGCGACAGAATCCTAAATTATTGTCAAGACGAACGAGCTTACGGCCCCTTAATCGCTACTAATCTCTTAACGAACGATTAAGTGTGCGTGAAGGTGTCCTAGAATAAATTAGATCTCTCTCTTAACTTATTCTACAAGCAATTGTAATTC